GTTCAGCCCAGTTTAGCCCTGTTCAGCCCAGTTTAGCCCAATTCAGACCAGTTTAGCCCAATTCAGACCAGTTTAGCCCTGTTCAGACCAGTTTAGCCCAGTTCAGCCCAGTTTAGCCCTGTTCAGACCAGTTTAGCCCAATTCAGACCAGTTCAGCCCAGTTCAGCCCAGTTCAGCCCAGTTCAGCCCAGTTCAGCCCAGTTTAGCTCAGCCCAGCCGTTCAGCCCAGTTCAGCCCAGTTTAGCCCAGTTCAGCCCAGTTTAGCCCAGTTCAGCCCAGTTCAGCCCAGTTCAGCCCAGTTTAGCCCAGTTCAGCCCAGTTCAGCCCAGTTCAGCCCAGTTTAGCCCAGTTCAGCCCAGTTCAGCCCAGTTCAGCCCAGTTCAGCCCAGTTCAGCCCAGTTCAGCCCAGTTTAGCCCAGTTCAGCCCAGTTCAGCCCAGTTTAGCCCAGTTCAGCCCAGTTCAGCCCAGTTCAGCCCAGTTCAGCCCAGTTCAGCCCAGTTCAGCCCAGTTTAGCCCAGTTCAGCCCAGTTCAGCCGTTTAGCTCAGCCCAGTTCAGCCCAGTTCAGCCCAGTTCAGCCCAGTTCAGCCCAGTTCAGCCCAGTTTAGCCCAGTTCAGCCCAGTTCAGCCCAGTTTAGCCCAGTTCAGCCCAGTTCAGCCCAGTTCAGCACAGTTTAGCCCAGTTCAGCACAGTTCAGCCCAGTTCAGCCCAGTTCAGCCCAGTTCAGCCCAGTTCAGCCCAGTTTAGCCCAGTTCAGCCCAGTTTAGCCCAGTTCAGCCCAGTTCAGCCCAGTTCAGCCCAGTTCAGCCCATTGGGATGGAATTCCCTCTTTCCCAGTACTTTCTAAGGCAAAAGTGAGGGAACCGAAGTGGCTCTGAGGGGGTCCCAGAGCAGCTGACACCTCCCATTGCCCCCCTATTGCCTTCCATTATCCCCCGGTCCCCCCTGAGCCCTCCCCCCCCCCGTCTATGGGGAATTACGGGGGTTCTGGTGGTCTGGGTCCCCCACCCCACTGAGGACCTGGAATGCCCCCACAGTGGGGTGGGGGGGTGAGGCTATGGGGTTTATGCTATGGGGCAGGGCTATGGGTGCTCTGCTATGGGGCTGGGCTGTGGGTGCTCTACTATGGGTCAGGGCTATAGTCTTTATGCTGTGTGGCAGGGCTATGGGTACCCTGCTATGGGGCAGGGCTATGGGTGCTCTGCTATGGGGCAAGGCTATGGGGTTTATTCTATGAGGCAGGTTTATGGGGTTTATGCTATGGGGCAGGGTTATGGAGTGTATGCTGTGGGGCAGGGCTATGGGTGCTCTGCTATGGGGCAGGGCTATGATGCTGGGTTACGCTCATTGGTTCAGGTGTGAGGGGGTGGGGAGGGTCTCATGTGGGGCAGGGTGAGGCGCTGCCCCTCCCTCCACCCCTGCTATGGGAGGTGACTCACCTGGGGGGTGACTCACCCAGCTCTGGGCTGGGCTGTGGGGTGTGGCTGTGGGGCAGAGCTATGGGGCAGGGCTATGGGAATGGCCACAGGGCAGAAATGTGGGGTGGGGTTATGGGGCAGCGCTATGGGGCAGGGATGTGGGTGCTCTGGTATGAGGCAGAGCTATGGGGCAGAGCTACGGGCAAAAGATCCCCTGTGCTGCCACGGGGCTGTGCAATGGGGCAAGGAGCTCTTCTATAGGGCACGAGCTGCACTGTGGGGCAGCAGCTGTGCTATAGGGCAGCAGTTGTACTATGGGGTGTGGTGACAGGCCATGGGGAAGGTGCTGCTCTATGGGGCAGGGAGCCACTCTGTGACGTGGGATCTTCTCTGTGGGGCATGCACTGCATTATGGAGCGGGAGCCCATCTATGGGGCGGGCACAGAGCTATGGGGCGTGGAGCCCCGGGGCTCCCCCACCCAGCCCCACCTCTTCCTCGCTGCCATAAATGAGGACAGCTCATCCCCACGGCACGGGTCAGGCCAAGATGTGGGGCTGGGCTGCAGCGGGGACCCCTCTGCTGTTACTGCTGCTGCCAGGTAATAAGGGGGGCAGGCTCAGCCATGACACTTAAGGGGGAGAAGGGGGCACTTGGGGGGCAGGAGCTGTGGTGGGGGGTGTCAGGACTCAGGTATGTGGGGCTGAGGGTATGGGGCAGAGGGGTGTCATGGGGGCTGTGAAGCAGGGGGGGTTCAGGGCACAGGGCTATGGGGCTGAGCTGCTATGGGGCAGTAGCAGAGGCTGTCAGGTGGCTGTGGGGCTGGATCTGTGGGGCAGGGAGGTTCTCAAAGTTAAAGTCTATGGGGGGGCTGAGCTGCTATGGGGCAGGAAGGGAGGGGTGTCAAGGGGCTATGGGGCAGGAGCTATGGAGTGGGGGGGTGGCCTGGATTCAGGGCTATGGGGGTGAGCTGCTATGAGGCAGGAACAAAGCAGTGTTAGGGGCAATGGGGCAGAGACTATGGGGAAGGGGCTGTCAGGCCTCAGAGCTGTGGGGCAGAGGTGTGCTGGAGGGCTGTGGGGCAGGTTCTATGGGGCAGGGGCTGTGCTGTGGGTCGGGCAGGGACAGGCTGGGACAGGTCAAGCGTCGCCCGAGACGCATCCCCAGGGGCAGGGCGAGGCCTGTGAGCACCCGCCCCACACACACACACACGTGTGGGGCAGGCGCTGTGGGGCTGCAGTGCCTGAGCTGTGGGGCAGAGGATGGGACCTGCCATGCGGCCATCAACATCACCTGCCCCCCGGAGAGCGACGTCTGCGCTGAGGCCTTGGCCAGTGTCACATGGAGTGAGTGGGGAGATGTGGGCCAGGGGGTAGGCTACGGGGAGATGTGGGGCTGGTGCTCTATGGGGCAATGCGGGGTTGGGAAGCCTGGCTTTGCTCTATGGGGAGATGTGGGGCTAGAACTCCTTGCTTTGATCTAAGGGGCAATGTGGGGCTGGAACCTCTGCCTTCCTGGCTTTGCTCTATGGGGAGATGTGGGGCTAGAACCCCTTGCTTTGATCTAAGGGGCAATGTGGGGCTAGAACCTCTGCCTTTGCTCTATGCAGCGATGTGGGGCAGGGGGTGGGCTATGTGGAGATGTGGGTCTGGAACCCCTGGCTTTGCTCTGTGGGGTGATGTGGGGCAGGGGGTGGGCTATGGGGAGATGTGGGGCTCAAACCCTTGGCTTTGCTCTGTGGGGCGATGTGGGGCAGGGGGTGGGCTATGGGGCGATGTGGGGCAGGGGGTGGGCTATGTGGAGATGTGGGGCTGGAACCCTTGGCTTTGCTCTGTGGGGCGATGTGGGGCAGGGGGTGGGCTATGGGGAGATGTGGGGCTGGAACCCCTGGCTTTGCTCTGTGGGGCGATGTGGGGCAGGGGGTGGGCTATGTGGAGATGTGGGTCTGGAACCCCTGGCTTTGCTCTGTGGGGCGATGTGGGGCAGGGGGTGGGCTATGTGGAGATGTGGGGCAGGGGGTGGGCTATGGGGAGATGTGGGGCTGGAACCCCTGGCTTTGCTCTGTGGGGCGATGTGGGGCAGGGGGTCGGCAATGACCAGATCTGTGTCTCGAACCCCTGGCTTTGCTCTGGGCAGGGCAGGGGGTGAGCTATGGGGAGACCCTTGGCTTTGTGGGGGCGATGTGGGGCAGGGGGTGCCCGCGCTCACCCCGGCTATGGGGAGATGTGGGTCTGGAACCCCTGGCTTTGCTCTGTGGGGCGATGTGGGGCGCTGTTGGAACCCTTGGCCCGCAGGCCATGGGGAGGCTGGAACCCCTGGCTTTGCTGTGGGGCGATGTGGGGCAGGGGGGGGCTATGTGAGATGCGGGGAACCCCAGCTTTGCCGGGGCCCTTTGCTCTGTGGGGCGATGTGGGGCAGGGGGTGGGCTATGGGCGCGCGCCCCTGGCTTTGCTCTGTGGGGCGATGCGGGGGTCGTGGTCTTCGTGCGGAGGCGCCAGTGCCGGGGGGGGGCCGAGGCCTGCAACGGGGCCCTGCCCATGGGGACAGAGAGAGCCCTGCCCCTGCCCGTGGGGGGGCGGGGCTGTGGGCGGGGCCAGCCCGGGGCCCTGGGGTGAATGGGGGGTAAAGAGGGCAATGGGGTGAATGGCCTGGGGGCCCTAATGGGGGTAGATGCCCCTGCCCGGTAACGGGGGGTGAATGGGGGTGAATGGGGTAAAGGGGTAATGGGGTGAATGGGGGGTAGTGGGGGGTAAAGAGGGCAATGGGGTGAATGGGGTGAATGGGGGGTAATGGGGGTAATGGGGGGTAATGGGGTGAATGGGGGGTAAGGGGGTAAGGGGGTAATGGTAAGGGGGGTAATGGGAGGGTAATGGGGTGAATGGGGGGTAATGGAGGGGCAATGGGGGAGCAATGGGGTGAATGGGGGTAATGGGGTAGGGGGGGTAATGGGGGGTAAAGAGGGCAATGGGGTAATGGGGGGTAATGGGGTGAATGGGGGGTAATGGAGTGGGGGGGTAATGGGGGGTAAAGAGGGCAATGGGGTAATGGGGTGTAATGGGGGTAATGGAGGTAATGCAGTCAATGGGGATAATGGGGTCAATGGGGATAATAGGGGTAATGGGGGGCAATGGGAGTAATGGTGGCAATGGAGGCAATGGGGGTAATGGGGGGTAAAGGGGTCAATGGGGGGCAATGGGGGTGAGAATCCCTGGCCCCGCCCCCCCAGACAACGTCACGGCCCAGGCGCCCAATGGGCTGCGCTGCTTTGGTTGCCCTGACGACGGGCCCTGCTCCGCCCCCACCATCGTGGAGTGCTATGGCGACCTCCGCGGCTGTTTCCATGGCAACGTCACCGTGACGCTGGGTGAGAGCCAACGGGAGAGCGGGGTGGGGGGGGCGGGGTAAGGCATCATCGGTCACCATGGTGACCACATAGCGCCCTATAGGTCCCCTATGGGGCCTGGTGGCTGTGACGCCTCCCCTATGGGGCAGCTATGGGGCTGACGTCCGCTATCGCCCCCCTTGGCAGGTGGGTCCCGGCGGTGGCGGGAGGTGCGGGGCTGCGTGCGGGACCCGACCTGCACCCCGGAGCCCCGAGGGGACGACGCCGTGGGGCTGGAGGGCTCCTGCTGCGCCGGGGACCTCTGCAACGGCCCCGCAGGGAACCGCAGCCTCTTCGCCCCTGACCTGCCCCGGCTCGAGCTCCTCCCGCAGCCCCACGGCCCCACGGCCGGGCCCAACAAAGGCAATGGGAGCACTGGGGGGGACAAGGCCACCACCAAGATGGCCGCCCCCACGGGCAACGCGTCTGCCGCCAAAACCAAGATGGCCGCCCCCACGGGCAACGCGTCTGCCGCCAAAACCAAGATGGCCGCCCCCACGGGCAACACGTCTGCCACCAAAACCAAGATGGCCGCCCCCACAGGCAATATGGCGCCCACTGTAGCCAACGTGGCGGCCACCAAAGGCAATGTGGCCGCCTCCAGAGGCAGCATGGTGCCTACCGTAGCCAATGGGGCTGCTACCAAATCCAGTATGGCGGCCACCATGGCCAATATGGCGGCCACCACAGGCGATATGGTGATTGACCACCACGGAGCTGCCATTGATGCCAGCACAGCCGCCGGACGCTCCGGGCACCCCATGGAGCGCAAAGATGGCGTCAAGGGCCCTGTGGGGCAGAGCCACCCTCTGGGGGCAGGGTTGTGGCCCCTCCCCTTCCTCCTGCTCCTCCTCCTCTAAGGCCTCTATGGGGCGCCCCATAAGTGGGGCATTGCATGGGACAGGTGCCCCGTAAGTGGCACCTCCCCACCCCACAGATTGCCCCATCAGTGCCCCTCCTGCCCCCTTCCGTTCAATGGGGCATCCCCAAGTAAAAGTGGCACTTATAGGGTGCCTCATAAGCGACCCCCCAGCAACCCATAAGCTGCCCCATAAGTGCACGTTCCAGGCCTCCTTTTAGCCTGTGGGGCACTTATGGGGCACCCCACATCCTTCCCCCCACATCTGCCACTATGGGGCAATAAAGGGCTGTGGTGGAACAAGGGGGGATTGGTCTTTTACTGGGGGGCGGTGCTTATCCCTGGGGGCGGGGCTTAGCCAGAGGGGGCGGGGTTAACAGGCTCATCCTGGATCCCGCAGCGGAGATTGGCTGGAATAGCCTCGTCTGGAGGAGGGGAGAGAGCTGTCAGAGCCCCGCCCCCTTCCCTTTAGCCCCGCCCCCTCCCCTTCAGCCCCGCCCCTTTTACCCATGCGTCGGGGGCGGGGCAGCTGCAGCCCCTCCATGAGGGCAACGAAGGCGTCGGGGCTCAGCGTGAGGCGGGGGTTCAGGCGCCGCTCCTCCCCCACCGTGGACACCGTGTGCCCTATGGGGAGGCGTGACCCATAAGTGACCCTCGAGTGACCCACGAGTGACCCTCGAGTGACCCACGAGTGACCCATGAGTGACCCTCGAGTGACCCACGAGTGACCCTCGAGTGACCGAGTGACCCACGAGTGACCCTCGAGTGACCCACGAGTGACCCACGAGTGAACCAAGAGTGACCCTCGAGTGACCCATAAGTGACCCTCGAGTGACCCTCGAATGACCCACGAGTGACCCACGAGTGACCCTCGAGTGAACCAAGAGTGACCCACGAGTGACCCACGAGTGACCCACGAGTGACCCACGAGTGACCCTCGAGTGACCCACGAGTGACCCACGAGTGACCCACGAGTGACCCTCGAGTGACCCACGAGTGACCCACGAGTGACCCTCGAGTGACCCACGAGTGACCCACGAATGACCCACGAGTGACCCACGAGTAACCCACAAATTCCCCACAAGCCACCCACAACTTACCCACGAGTGACCCACGAGTGACCCCCAAGTGCCCCACAAGCCACCCACAAGTTACCCATGAGTGACCCCCAAGTGCCCCAGAAGTAACCCGCAGGTGACCCATGTGTGCCCCACAAGTGCCCCCCACCATTGTAGTCGTGCGCGGGGTAGACCAGGCACTCATCGGGGAGGGTGAAGATCTTCTCATGCACGGAGCGGTACAGGGTGCGGGCACAGCCTGGGGGGGGGGGGGTGTCACCATGGCAACAAGCTCCTCCCAGTGCCCCCCAATCCCCTCCCACTCTATCCCAGTCCATCCCCATCCCCTCCCACTCTATCCCAGTCCATCCCCATCCCCTCCCACTCTATCCCAGTCCATCCCCATCCCCTCCCACTCTATCCCAGTCCATCCCCATCCCCTCCCACTCTATCCCAGTCCATCCCCATCCCCTCCCACTCTATCCCAGTCCATCCGAATCCCCTCCCACTCTATCCCAGTCCATCCCCATCCCTTCCCACTCTATCCCAGTCCATCCCCATCCCCTCCCACTCTATCCCAGTCCATCCCCATCCCCTCCCACTCTATCCCAGTCCACCCCCATCCCCTCCCACTCTATCCATCCATCCCCATCCCCTCCCACTCTATCCCAGTCCATTCCCATCCCCTCCCACTCTATCCATCCATCCCCATCCCTTCCCACTCTATCCCAGTCCATCCCCATCCCCTCCCACTCTATCCCAGTCCATCCCCATCCCCTCCCACTCTATCCCAGTCCATCCCCCCACTCTATCCCAGTCCATCCCCATCCCCTCCCACTCTATCCCAGTCCATCCCCATCCCCTCCCACTCTATCCCAGTCCCCTCCCATCCCCATCCACCCCCATCCCCTCCCACTCTATCCCAGTCCATCCCCATCCCCTCCCACTCTATCCCAGTCCATCCCCATCCCTTCCCACTCTATCCCAGTCCACCCCCATCCCCTCCCACTCTATCCATCCATCCCCATCCTCTCCCACTCTATCCCAGTCCATCCCCATCCCTTCCCACTCTATCCCAGTCCATCCCAATCCCTTCCCACTCTATCCCAGTCCATGTCCCTCCCCATCCCAGTGCCTGCCCTGCTGGAAGTCGGTGCGGCCGCAGCCCCGGATGAGCAGCGCGTCCCCGGTGAACGCCATGGATTCATCGTCCAGCACCAGCGTCAAGCACCCGGCCGTGTGCCCGGGGCTGGCACGTGCCTGCAGCGCCTGTGGGGGGGGGGGGAGGCGTGGCCTAAGAAGGCTCCGCCCACACCACACCCCCCCCATAGGGTTCAATGTGGGCCCCCCCATAGGATTCAATGAGGAGTGTCCTTGCTAGGGCTCAATGGGTTCCCACAGGTGTCAATGGCCCCCCGCAAAGGGATCAATGGGTGTCTCCCCACATAGAGTTCAATGGGGCATCTGCCTATGGGTCTTTATGGCTCTCTATGGTCACTATGGGTCTCTATAGGGTCCCTATGGGTGCTATGGTCTCTATGGGTCTCGGGTCTCTATGGATCTCTATGGGTCTCTACGGGTCTCTACAGGATGTCTATGGGTTCTATATGGTTCTCTATGGGTCTCCATGGGTTCCTATGGGTCTCTATTGGTCCCTATGGGGTCTTTATGGGGTTCTATGGGTCCCTGTGCGTCTCTATGGGGTCTCTATGGGTGCCTATGGGGTCTCTATGGGTGCCTATGGGTCTCTATGGGGTCTCTATGGGCGCCTATGGGTCTCTATGGGTCTCTATGGGGTCTCTATGGGTGCCTATGGGTCTCTATGGGTCTCTATGGGTGCCTATGGGTCTCTATGGGGTCTCTATGGGTGCCTATGGGTCTCTATGGGTGCCTATGGGTGCCTATGGGTCTCTATGGGTGCCTATGGGTCCCTATGGGGTCTCTATGGGTGCCTATGGGTCTCTATGGGGTCTCTATGGGCTCCCTATGGGTCTCTATGGGTCTCTATGGGGTCTCTATGGGTCTCTATGGGTGCCTATGGGTGCCTATGGGTCCCTATGGTCCCTATGGGGCTCACGAAGGCTCCGAAGCGCAGCTCGTCCCCATCGCGCAGGAGCACGTCCGCGCTTGCGCCGCTCTCCCGCGAGATGGCGCTGCGGCACCCCAGCGCCGCGCGCAGCGCGCCAGACCCGGTCACGTGATCCGCGTGGCAGTGGGTGTTCACTGCGGGAGGGAAAAGGGGGCGGGGTCAGCACCGGGAGAGACCAACGGGGGCTCAGCGGTGGGGGGCGCCAGGCCGGGACCAAGGCCTCTATAAGGTTAATGGGGAGTCCAAGCCCCCATACAGGGCACAGGGAGGGGTCCGAAGCCCCCTTAGAGTGGGTTTAGGGGCAGGGTCGGGACTATGGGGTGTCTATGGGGGTCTATGGTTTGTCTGTGGCTGTCTATGGGGCTCTATGGGGTGCTATAGGATACGGATAGGGTGTCTATGGGGTGTCTACGCAGTGTCTGTGGGAGGCTATGAGTATCTATGGTTGTCTATGGGGCACTATGGGTGTCTGCGCAGTGTCTGTGGGGTGCTACGTGTGTCTATGCAGTGTCTATGGTCACCTGTGGGGGTCTATGGGTGTCTGTGGGTGTCTATGGGGTTCTATGGGTGTCTCTGGGTGTCTTGTCTATGGGGTGTTACGTGGTGTCTATAGGGGTCTGTGGGTGTCTATGGAGCGTTACATGGTGTCTGTGGGTGTCTATGGGGATCTATGGGTGTCTATGGGTGTCTATTGGTGTCTATGGGGTTCCATGGGTATTAGTGTCTATGGGTGTCTATGAGGTTCTACGGGTGTTTATGGCAGTCTATGGGGGTCTATGGGTGTCTATGACGTACGATGGATGTCTGTTGGTGTCTATGGGGTTCTATGGGTGTCTACTGGTGTCTAAGGGGTTCTATAGGTGTCTACCTATGACTGTCTCTGGGTGTCTATGGGGTTCTATGGGTGTCTATTGGTGTCTGTGGGTGTCTATGGGTGTCTGTGGGAGTCTATGGGTGTCTATGGGGTTCTACGGGTGTCTGTAGGAGTCTATGGGTGTCTATGGGGTTCTATGGGTGTCTATAGGAGTCTATGGGTGTCTCTGGGGGTCCATGGGGTCCCTCAGCACATACGTGAAGGAGCAGGCTGAGCCGAAGAGCTCCTGAACACAGCCGAACAACATGGTCCCTGGGGCACCGTCTGGGAACAACACGGGGTCGATGATGACAGGAATAACATGGGAACCTGAGCCCGCGTGGGAATGACAGAGGAATAACATGGGAATGACAGCACATAACGTGGGAATGAAGGAGGAGGAGGAGGGAACAACATGGGAACAACAGAATAACATGGGAATGACAGAGGAATAACACAGGAACGACATGGGAACAACATGGAATAACATGGGAATGACAGAGGAATAACATGGGAACAACATGGGAACAACACGGAATAACGTGGGAATGACAGAGGAATAACATGGGAACAACATGGGAACAACACGGAATAACGTGGGAATGACAGAGGAATAACATGGGAATGACATGGGAACAACACGGAATAACGTGGGAATGACAGAGGAATAACATGGGAACAACATGGGAAGAACACGGAATAACATGGGAATGACAGAGGAATAACACGGGAACGACACAGGAACAACATGGGAACAACATGGGAAAACACAGCACTCCAATGCTAACGTCATATGATCCCCATGTAATAACGTGAGACCCCCCTTATGACCCCCCGGTGACCCCTAGTATGCCCCCCCCAGCCCCCCCCCATATCACATGACTTTTATCCAACCCCTACTTCCGGGTCACCCCCCCCCGCCCCCAAACCCCGTCCACGGCCACCCCCCCACGGGCCCCCATTCCCCCCGGGACCTGCCGCAGCAGCAGCCGCCTCCCCGCGGTGCCGTAGCCCCGAAGGGCCGCGATGGCGGCGGGGACGCGGTGCAACCACATGACCGGGGGGGCGGAAGCGGAGAGAGACGCGGCGCCTTTAATTGGGGCCGGGAGCGGAGGGGAGGAGCCTTAAAGGGCAACGGCTTAAAGGGGCAATGCGCTAATAGGGCCATGGCTTAAAGGGGCAATGGCTAAAAGGGACAATGGCCTTAAAGGGGCAATGGCCTTAAAGGGGCAATGCGCTTAAAGGGGCAATGGCTAAAAGGGACAATAACCTTAAAGGGGCAACGGCTAAAAGGGACAATAGCCTTAAAGGGGCAATGGCTAAAAGGGACAACAGCCTTAAAGGGGCAATGGCTAAAAGGGGACAATGGCCTTAAAGGGGCAATGGCTAAAAGGGACATTGCCTTAAAGGGGCAATGGCTAAAAGGGACAACAGCCTTAAAGGGGCAATGGCTAAAAGGGACAATAGCCTTAAAGGGGCAATGGCTTAAAGGGGCAATGCGCTTAAAGGGGCAATGGCTTAAAGGGGCAATGCGCTTAAAGGGGCAAGGGCTAAAAGGGGCAATAGCCTTAAAGGGGCAATGGCTTAAAGGGGCAATGCGCTTAAAGGGGCAATGGCCTTAAAGGGGCAACTTTAAGGGCCATTGCACCTTAAAGGGCAACTCCTGACTCCCAAGTGACCCTTAGTTGCCCCTTGTGCCCCCCAAGTCCCCCCCCCATTCCTTAATCCCCCCCGATTGACCACTCCAGGCTTTAAAGTGAGGGTCCACCACCTTTATTAAGGGGGCGTGGCTCAGCAAAGGGGGCATGTCCAATGGGTGCAAATGCCCCCCCCCCACGTGGTTCCATAGGGAGTGTGTGGCTCCATACGGGACGTAGCTCCACTGGGGGCTTGGTTCCATAGGGGCTATTGCCGCTCGTAGATGAGGCGCAGCAGCCTCAGGCTGGGCCCATAGCGCTGCTGCTGCCGCTG